TGCCCATTTTCACCTAAGTTTTTATTGGGGCAGCATCTTCAGTACCTTCCCATCTCAGCAAAGGTGCTGCTTTGGAATGGATGCGGCATCTCCAGGGTGCACTCTTGGAAGCAGAGCCGGAGGGAAAAGACTGCCTGCTCCTCTCCTCATAAGAAGACCATTCCGTCGCAATGTGCTCACTAAACCAAAGAGGGATGGCGGCTGGGGCAGGTCGAGTCCTCTCTCTCCTCCTTCTCCTTCTCCTTCTCCTTCTCCTTCTCCTTCTCCTTCTCCTTCTCCTCCCTGTGACTGAGAAGTTTTCGTTCTGAACCGGATCACGAACGTGCCCAAGTTCTCTCATTTGGCTGGAGACTATTCAATGTACTACAGCACATCCTTCTCTCCTCTGATACACAGTTCAATTTCCATTGGAAAAAAAAATCCAGTTATTGGCAGCGCCTAGCTTTTTCATTTTTACAGTGTTTAAATCTTGGGATAAAATCATCATCATCACCACCATTATCATCATCATCCAGTCATATTTAAAATAAAAACTGGGGACAAAATTGGGAATGGGGAGAAATCGGGCACTGTGATTCATTAGGCGAAATGGTCACTCCCTAATCTGTTATCTTACGACTCCACCCCAGCCATTAGTGAAATGCCAAAGAGAAATTCCAGGTTCAAACTTAAGAGGGGCAGTAAAAAGTAAGTAAAAAGCAAAACTATCATACAATCTGATTCCCAAATAAGCAAATAAAAATTTCGAGATGAGAAGGGTGAGAAAACGTTTTTTAAACACTAGTACATAACATGTCTATGTTCTTTTAAATAAGTGTAGAACGATCCGAAGGTCTCAAAATACTGATTTCATAAACCCCAATCTTTAAAAACTGATTTGCAACTCGGAACTTTAACAATTTATACTTATTGACAAACTTCTAGGGCCAGTAACACAAACCCCAGCAACGGCAACCGCCTCTTTCTTTCAAAAGAAAGGGTAGTTTGAAAAGTTTATTTTTCTCGTTCGTCCTTCTTTCCTCCGCCCCCGGCCGCATCTTTAAGGAAAAGCTAATTGCTGCTCGCATTTAAAAGCAAAAAATCTTTCAAGTTAGAAGAATGCAAATGAAAAGATGTTTCGTTTTTGTTTTTGTTTTGAGCGTCAATCCTCTTTAAATGAACCACTTGATCATTGCCTGGGAATCTCTATTAATCGAATGGGTTTGCCTTTTTGCCAGGTCCTTTATCATTATTTATGGGCTCTAAATTGTTTCAAAGTTCCCTTGACGTTCGATTTACAAGTTAGAGGTTCTTTTCTTTTCCCTGTCCTGCCTTTTGTTCTCAAGAAAGACATCGTGTTGGAAGGGCTTTGAAAAGCCAAACACGAGAGGCCTGCCCGTGAAAAGGGAGCAGACTCGGTCCTTTTTAATTCCTCCGGGCGAGTGAATGACTCTTTGACATAATTGCAGAAGCTGTTTCAAAGCTGAGCGAGGGGGCTGCCTTCCATTAAAGCTGCCCACGTCAACTCTGTTGGGGGGGCTTCCCGAAGGGGGGTTCTCTCCCCACCCCGAAAGAAAGAAAGAAAGAGAGGGAGGGAGGGAGAAAGAAAGAAAGAAAGAAAGAAAGAAAGAAAGAAAGAAAGAAAGAAAGAAAGAAAGAAAAGTGGGGAGGGAGAAATGAGGCTTCCAT